GGAAAATTTGTTTATACTATATCTGTTTTTAGACCTCGTAAAAGTTGGTGAACTTAGTTCTTCCCTATTAGCCCAAATTCTTCCACACTCAGCAAATATCAACAGGAAAGAGCTTTAGTCATTGATAACAATGAAAGCAGGGAGCTCACAACAGGCTTAATAAGCTTGCTGCACTGACAGAAGGAACGTCAGAGACACAATCTCTAGCTCATGTTTATAGAATAACGGGTTTGAAAGGATAGGAAAAGATACCAAAATCTAGGTAAATTTATTCTGACAGTGACAACAGCATCGTCTCTGACACAGCTCATACTGGTCTAAGGATTCATTTTGGAACTGTCAAAGTTTTCAAGCAGAAAATTATTCTCAGTGGCTGAAACTTGGTTAAAGAAATTTCACTGTGCAAGGAAAAACCAAGTTACTTTTGGAACTGCTGTGGGGGAATAAATCTCAAGCAGGAAACAGGAAAATAACAGTGTCAGTCAGAACGGAAGTTCCATCCCTATCCAGAGCCCCAGGAAGTTGGTTCAGCAAGGTGCACAGTTGGAGGGGGTGACCTGGATCCACCCTGGTAGTTGGGTAAACATGCTCGAAAAGAGATGAATTATCAGAACCAGTGTGTTTTCAATGGCTGATTTTTCAGAAACAAAATGCCAGGTCTTTCTTTTGAGGTGCTTCTGTGTGGACCTGAATCTCCAACTAGCAGCTGAGCATATTAACTGTTTATACCACCTAGGGACTTAGCAATGACAATAGTTTTAGATTCTTATTTGTTGTTGTTGTTGTTATAGATTATAATCCAGTACTATCATTATTTTGTTGCTTGATGTACGCCAGTAACCCAACCTGGGCAATTTGAGCCAAAAATAAATGATGATCGCATTGGATCATAACTTATAAAATAATGATTCTAGAATTCTTGCTTATATATAAATAAATACATCTAAATGAATAAATTGTAAGGATTTGGGGAGAGAAGTCACAGAGCTTTCTATTAATTGGTAGAATACCAATTAGTAAATGTAGAAGGAATAATAAAATATAGAAAATCACTACTAGGCAAATATTGTAGTAATATTTGTTACATGCAAGAACTACTGATCAAACAAAAATTAGTGGGTGACCACATCTAGCATCATTACTGATAGTATTTTTTAGAAAGTGGTCAAAATATCTTCCCACAAGATATGTATGAATTACAATGAATCCCTACAGTATTATAACCTGGCAGACATCACCTTCAATTAAGTGATCCAATAACATGACACATGGCTTTCATGCGACCCTGATATGAGGTATTACAAAAAGTACATCAATTCTGTGCTATACTAGCACAATATGGGAAATTTCAATCTATTCATGAGAGAAACAGCAGAGACATGAGGGACAATCTACATATTAACTGATCTAAACTTCTTCAAAATGTCAAATCATAAAAGATGAGGCCAATACACTAGCAGACATGCACTCTAATAGGTGACCACGTTCATCACCGATAAGGGGAAGTGAGGGAAAAACAGCAATGAAGCTGTGAGCTAAGCCTTACAACATTCAGTAGACTCCTGTGAACCCAGGTGAAGACCTGGTTGTCTAGCAGTGTGGCAAGATCCGGGGACTCCTGGGCCCAGAGTCAGTGACATGGCCACAGGGGACTAGAGTGGAGAGTGAGGCATCCAGCTGATAAGAAGTGAGGGGAGATGCACAAGAACACCAACACTTGTAGATAATACCCACTTGACCTGGCTTCAAAGGCTGGAAGATCAGAACTCAACTAGAAGAAGAAAGAAGAGGGAAAAAAGAGTAATCGGATACAATTTGATGAACTTGACCTACACCTATGGATGCAGTAGCTCAAAAGAGAGAACAGATCTTTACAGCGAGGATCATTCCCACCCTCTCCATACACAGTGTAGACAGGGATGGGCAACTTGGACATTGGCTACCCAAAATGGGGGTGCTACAAAGGCAAGCAGTGACTGGCTTACAAGCTTTCAAGACGGAACCTAGATCCAGAGGGCAAGGAGGAAGGTACAGTCTTCACTGAGTAGTATCCAATCTGTCTGGGCGTGGCTAATGAAAGGAGATGGGGATAGGTTCCTTGTGGTACAATGGTGAATAACTGTTACCAGGACTGACTGTGAAGGTTGGAAATGTAAAGGTGGATGTTTTGTAGCAAAAGAAGGGGAGTGATTGACTTTGCAGTCCATGAGCCGAGGTCCCTGGAACCATCAAGGGAGAAGAGTGGAGTGTGAGACCCTACCCAGAAAAGCAGTGATGCCAGAGATGGAGGCAGAGACGATGATGTGGAGGGATGGAGTGGCCGGGGATTTTAGACCCAGAGAGGGATAAGGGCTGTGTGCTGACAACCAGGGGGAGGGGGGCAGGCTAGCAGGGTATACCCTTTGGTTGGTTGATGATGCATGGAGGGGATTGTAACCATGGCAATGAAACAATATTCAATAGGATGAATGTAAAGCTAATGTTCTCCCATGTAAACTATCACATAATTCACAATAAAACATTAAAAAAAAAAAAAAAAAAAAAGATAAGGCCAAAGTAAGGGACTGTTAGAAATTAAAGCAGACCAAAGACAAACATACGGTGGGTTCATGTGCTGGACTGCATGGTAGGCCTATCAAGCTCACCAGCCACTCCTCAGAAAACCTATACAGGGTTGCTTTGAGTTGGAATCAACTCCACAGCACTTAATAACAACAACAACAAAAGACGCATGACTCCTGGTGTGGTGCTGTAGGATCAGCACTGGACTGCAAACCACAATGTCGACAGATGAAACCTACCAGCTGTTCCTTAGAAACTCTATACAGGGTTGCTATGAGTCAGAACTGACTCGACTCCATAGCACTTAACAACAACAGCAAGGAAGCATGCAGAGTGCTAGTGTGGCACTGCAGACTAAGCACTTGACCACAAAGTCAGTTTGAAGCACAAGGTCGGTGTTTCAAACAGACCAGCGCTCCTAGGAAACTCTACGGGGTCGCTACGAGTTGGAACCTACTTGGTGACTCTTAACAACAAACACCGACAAGGAGGCATGGAGAAGACCTGGTTTCACAGTGGGTAAAGTGTTGGAGGAGAATACTAAAAGTGCATGGACTGCCAAAGGAACCAATAGATCTGTTTTGGAAGAAGTGCAGCCAGAGGGCTCCTTGGAGGCCAGGATGGCTAAGCTTCGTCTCTCATACTTTGGACATATTGTCAGGAGGGAACAGTTTCTGGAAAAGGATGTCATGCTGGGTAAGATGGAGGGTCAGAGAAAAAGAGGAAGACCCCCAATGAGATGGATCGGCCAGGTGGCATCATTGATGGCATCGAGTGTGGTGGCGCCCAGGATCAGACATTGTTTCATTCTGCTGTGCATGGGGTTGCTATGAGACTGTTCCGACTTGATGGCACCTGACAACAACAACAAGGTGTTGGTTTTCTAACTGAGAAGTTGGCAGTTAGAATCCACCAGCCAATCTATGGAAGAAAGGTGAGGCAGTCTGCTTCCAAAAAGACTGACAATCTCAGAAACCCTAGGGAGTGGTTTCTGTCCAATAGAGTCACTGTGAGGTGGAATCGAGTGACAGCAGTGACTTTAACATTTAAGGAGGCATGAACCCTCAACACAATCTTAAATAGGATTCTGTTAGAAAAGAGCATTACTCCTGTTAGAAAAAGACATTACTGAGGGCTTGGAAATTAAAATAAAATCTACAGATGAGTTAAAGTGTTATGCCAATGTTTTTGTTTCCAGCTAATCATAGTTGTACTATGATTAGGTCTGACATTAATACTAGAGAAAGCTTGGTGAAGGATCTATGGGAACTCTCTGTATAGTTTTGGCAACAATTCTATAAATCTTAAATTATTACAAAACAAAAAGTTAAAATACAATTGGGGTTAGCTTGGTTTGAATCAGCAAGCTGTCAAGACTAGGTTAGGATGCATACATTTCCAGGGTAATAACTAAGACCTTGAGAAGAAAGTCAGAAAAGAATATGCATATAATAATGTATACCCCAGCAATTGAGAATATTAGGGGATAATATTCTCTAAAAAATCAATTTCCCTCTTGCACTTTTGCCCATCCTTCTCTGTATTTTCTTAGTCACCAGCAGTAATAGCTTCTAACAATGAAAAGGTGCTCCTTGTAGATAGGAAACCACAGAGGGAATCTGGAGAACTCATGTTCTATTTTGTGGTCTGTTTAGTGAGAACTGATCCTAAACAAGAACAGGAAAGTAGGGGACTACACTTGGGAAAGAGAGAACAAGGCACCACCTTGGGTTTTCAGAAGAAATGTCGGTCTCCAAATCTGTAATAGAGGTGTAACCAGTGAGAGCAAGGCATTCCCCAATGACTTCTTGTGTCTAAATCTTTCAAAACCTAAATAAATATAGTGAACCATTTTTCTTGGTTTAGCCAGAAAAAGAAAATATGTCTTTAAGAGTTGTTGTTAAGTGCTGCTGTGGTAGTTCCGATTCAATGATCATGTCCAGAATTTCTGTCCAAGGTGTGGCTGGTGGCTATGAACTGCCAACCTTGTGGTTAGCAGTGCAGTGCTTACTCTATAATGCCACACCTGTAAGAGTAAATATTTATCATACAGAACTATCATATTTAAGATCAGACACTTATTTGAATAATATTATCCCTCTGATAAACAAAATGATTCTTATAGGTAGTATTAGCATCAATCTCTTGACAAATGCTTAGATATCTGTGGAGGGATATGTATTTTAAAAAAAGTTATTTATGCTTCCAAAATAGAGAAGCAAAGCTTTATGCTCCAAGTATAGCTTTCAGATGAAAAACCTAGGTATGTTTAGCATGATTACAAATAGTTCAGGAATTTCTGTCTGAAACCAGATTTCAACTAGCTCTCATTGTGGAGTTAACTGTTTTGGGATCCTCTGAATCAGGATTGAAGAAAGAACATGATAACATTTTGAAGGGGTGTCCGCTACAGCATGATGATGGTGGTTCAGACATACCTCCCACTGCATTACAGCGAGATGTCATTTCCCAGAGGACCAGAGCCATGGAGTAGACATCCGTCTGCTTGAAGGACTCAACATTCTCCAAATTCATCCTGGACTCCAGGACTTCTGGGGCCATGTATCTTGCAGTTCCCACCTAAAGCAAAACCAGGGATTGAGGTCACTTAATTCCAGCTCCATTTTTATTCTGAAACTCTAGCGGATGTTTGTACTCTGTATGTGCAGGTGCTCTTAAAAAAAAAGTAAAAAAAAGTCACAGTGCTGTTGTAAATAATGAGACCAACAGAGAAAGGTACAGTGTATGTGATTATTTTTAAAAATAAGTGTTCTTTCCGTGAAAGTCTTTTAAAGGCTATGCACTAAGAATGCCAAAATAAGGAAATGCCAAACTCCAGAGCTAGCTTTCTAGCCCCATGATACATGTCATCACATTCTTCAATAACATCCTGACAGACGACCTGGGAAACAACAGCTGTGACATTTTGCATGTTTATTTTTGATTTTGCAAATTTAATATTTTTTCATTCTTGAAACTCAAAGACTTATGGTGAAAATAACAATGAAGACCACCACCTGTTTTGATCATATATGGGCTGTTTCTTAATCTTCGCTTGTTCCATAAGCAAATTCTATGAAAGTATTTCCATAGTAGGAGACATTTGGATTACCTTGTAATTTTTGTGGACCTGTTGTATAGTTTTACTCTAATAAGCTCACGCTATTCTCAATGACTGTCAAATACAAACATGGGATCCATTGGTTCTGAGGAATCAGTCCCTCAAATGTTTCTTATTGTGATATTATTGTCATTTAAAGCATGATCTTGTAACACAGACAACTACACATGCAATGAAGTCCTCTCTTCCCTGGGAATGATAAGTAAGCTGACATTCTAAGGATCATCATTTCTTATTGAAATGTATCAAGATTTTTTTTTCTCAAGTCATTCTATAATTCACTACCCTGACATATTAATCTGTCCATGCTCATTAATGTGTTTACCTTAACATTGCAAGTACTGCCATGGACACAGAGGGATGACTGCATAGTAACTGAACACTTCTGAAGCTATATCCCACCCTCACCATGCCCAAATCTGTTTAGAGAAAATGATGGAACTCTTTATTGACTCCACTCTAATCTGCAGCCAGTCTTTCAATGTGTATAGGACCTTGCCATTCAGAAAGGATGTCTTTAAAACTTCATTTCACTTTTCAATAGCTCCATAGTCAAACAAAGGTTACCTCATAACCATGAAAGTGTTTCAAGAATAGAATTGTCCATTCATTCATTCCATCATTCACTCAGCAAAGACATATTAGCCACTTTAATTGATGAAAGCATTGTGCTAGAGAGATAACCAAATGGACGTGCATTTAAACTTCAAGGAGCTTGCCTTCTAGAAGAGTAAAAAGAAACACAGACATCAACTGTGCAGAGTAGAAAGGGGAAAGTATACCACACATGAAACAAAGAGAAATCATTGGCCAATCAAAAAGCAGTGAAGATTGACTCAGGGACAAGCACATTTGCTCTGGGTTGGGAAAGATTTGAAAAAAAATGATGAAATGCTGTCCATTAGCAAATGTACCCTGGTAGGAGAGTGGGGACAAAACTCCCTGTTTTGGCCAGACTCCCGAGACATGCATGTCCAGGGTGTGGGGTTGTTTGAGGTTAGAGGCATACGATATAGATAAAAAGGTATGGTGGGGACAAAAAGAAGGTAAGGGAGATCTAGGCATCTATTCTAACTCACCTGCCCACTGTTTGCCAGGTCATCCACAGACAAAGTGGGGTCCAGGCGCAGGGAAAGCCCAAAATCACACAGACAGCAGGTCAGGTCATTCTTCACAAGGATGTTAGAGCTCTTAAGGTCCCTGTGCACAATGGGCATCTTGGGCCTTCCACATGGGGTGTGATCACTGTGCAGGTGAGCAATGCCCCGGGCAAGAGAGCTGCCCAGCTTACGCAGGTCCTCCCAGCTGATGACATGCCGAGTAAGATACTCCTGGAGGTTACCCTTGGCATGGAAGGCAGTGATCAGCCAGTACTGCTTCCCCAGTTCTGTCTTCCGCTCCTCAGCAGTCAAGAACTGCAGTATGTTCTCATGCTTCAGGTTGATGTCCGAAAAGATGTCTTTCTCTGTCTTCCAGGAAGCGTACTCCTCATAAGGGAAGATCTTGACTGCCACGGTCTCAAACTGCTCTGAAGTGTTCTGTTTCAGCTTGGCTTTGTAGACCTCAGCGAAGCGGCCCTTCCCTACCAGGGTGTCCAGTTCAATGGGCAGCAGCTCGGTGTTGTGGTTGATGTTGTTGGCGCAAGTAGAGCTGATGTCTGAGCGGTCATCCTCCAGAATGATGGCATAATGCTCATTGAACTCCATGAGCTTCCGTGGCTTGTTGGTATCCCAGGATGTACTCAGCTTCTGCTGCCGGTGAACGCGGTAGCAATAGAAGGTGATGATTACTGCTATGGCGATTCCCAATGGTGGTAAGAGGCTGATGCCTGTCACTTGGACAATGACCAAAAACAAATCAGGGCTGCTGGTGTTCTCTTCAGATGTGGAAACAAAACAAGAGAGAGGAGGAATTAGGTTCAGTATGTATACAGTGTCAGGAACTGGGTCTACACCTTAGACATTTAGAGCATTTAGCACCCGCATAGTTTTTACAGATTATTTTTATTCCAGGGATGCTACTTGTCCTGGGGTCCTGACTGTAGGATAAGCACTAGCCTGTCAACCACAAGTATGGAAGTTCAAACCCACTAGTCACTTCTCAGAAACTCTATACGGGGTTGCTAAGAGTTGGAGCTGACATGAAGGGCGTGTAACAACAATGACAGCGTGCCCTAGTCTGGTCGTCCCTGCCTCTGGCTCTCCACTTAATGTCTTATATTCTTTCCCTAAACTTCAACTTAAATGTCACTCCTTAAAGGAAGCCTAGGCAGAATTAGAAGAGCATCTTATACATTCTTACAGAAGCTTATACTTTCAATTAAATAACAACTATGATTCCACTTTCTGGTTTCGTATCTACTTCTCTCTACTCTTCTTATTCCCAGCTGGCTGGGAACTCAATATTGTCAGGGAGGATATTTGTCTTCTTCATTACTTTATACAGCACATAGCACATAGGAGGTTTTCAGTAAGTATGTTTTGAATGCATGCACAAAGCATTTATTATTAACCACTAAGTTCAAAGTCTAATAGGAACTTTGGAAATAGAGAAAGAATGATATTGTTTCCACTTCCAAATGATACCAAAAATGTTGTTTGTGAAAGTACAGAGACTGTCATGTTTTTGCCAAAGGCTGTGTTTTTCCGAGTCAACTTTCCCTGGTTAGATCAACAACCAGGCTTCTCTTAGACATCAGCTCTGGGCCTATGGTGGTGTGGAGAGAAATTTGTAGGAAGGATCTGTTTAGAAGTCTATTACCCTTATACCTACCCAATATTACTTCTTTTCAGTGTACATGCAACTTGCAGTTTCTTAGAATAGATACATTTCATTGCAACAATGTAAACACTTCTACAAATGAGCAAAGTTGTGTTTTTTGTGGGGTTTTTTTTTAAGTACTCCTGTGGGTTGATGAAAGGAATCCTTAGCCCTAGCCATCAAACTATGTGATCTTGTATGTCAAACACTGGATCATGTGGTGCCTTTGGTTGGTACTGACTTCCTCTTGGGAAGAAGGGCATGCAGGAGGCAACTAGGAACTAGGTGGGCAGTTACAGTCAATGAGAGCCATGTGCTAGGCTGCCTTCATGAGGCAAAAATATCAAAATTCTATTGTTTGATATGTCCTTTATCCTCCCTCAAAGGTACCGACTAGCAAACAGGCCTCTGGTCAAATGCTAGATTTGTTCCTCAAACATATCATTATTGTATGCAGTCTCAGTGCAGTGCTGCAGGTTAATGTGCTGGACTGCAAGATCTGTTTGAGTTTTAAGGTCAGTGGTTCAAGTCCACCAGCTGTTCCTCAGAAACCCTATACAGGGTCTCTATGAGTTGTAACTGACTCTATGGCATATAACAACAGCTATAAATTATAGTGTCACTGGATTATAACCACTGTCTTTAAAGTGGTTATAGTTCAGTAGATGAGTTAGAGCATGTATATGGTAGACTAAGATGGGAGCTAACTGGGGTGTAATGTACAATGTGGCTTCAAAAAGTTCATGGGATAATTCCATTATCTTTTAATTTCATTTTTCAATGTACTTTTTGAAGCCCCTTTGTATGTATTGGTGGAGTGGGGGGAAAGCTTAGAAGAAAATGAAAGGCACAGTGGTAAGGACTGCCTTTGAAGTGGTCTCTGACAGATGAAAAAAGGTTAATGAGTCAGAGGAATGTTATAAATGAATGTATAGAAGTAAGAAAGTATGATCTGTGCAGAGACCAATTCTCCCAAACTGACTGCTTTGCACAGGGGAACAGAAAGAGAAAAAAAGATTGGGTAAGCAGTATAGTACCAGACTGAAATTCAAAAGAAGAATTTGGAATTATCCAGTTAGTAAATTGTATACACTACAGACTTTTTGGCAAAAAACACAAACTAATATTTAAAGGTTGAGAAGACAGACTTGGTGGAATAAGGATACCATAATCCCTCAAAGGGAAACATTTACTTAAATTGTATGTAATATCATCACTTAAAGTCATACTGCGAAATAAAGCTAGGTAAGTACTAAGCCATTTAGAGGGTTTAGATTTAATGATTTGATTGTTCTTAAAGTAGGTTCTGAGTGAGAAACACAAGCTATATATATGTATTCTAGATGAAAATTTTAGGTCTTAAGTCTACATATTGCCAATAAAAACTGGAAAAGTAATGCCAAAACATTAGTATTTCACAAACTAACAGGAAAACATCATCATTTTGGGGAAAGATAAAGAAATGCACCAAAATGAATTTTAAAAAGAGATTAAACTTGGTGACTGACTCAAAAATCCAAATTCTTGCTCATAATGGAAGATTTGGCTGTGGACAAAGGGAAAATGGAGAAATGGGACTTAGGAATGGAAGTGGAGGTGAAACAGAGCAATTAGAGAAAGAATGAGGACTGAAAAAGGTGGGCAGGGAGGCTAGGGCAGAGAATTATGGACTTGTCTCTGTTGTCCAGCAAAAATGAACCTAGAAAGCAACATTAACAGGGCAGATGAAATAATATTCTGGTGAAACAGCAGACCACACTTCCTGAAATGTCATCTCCATTCTCTGAAGTATCGCTATGAATGCTTTTGCTTCGATGCTCCATGTCTCTCATTACATGAGATTCCTCGTAATCATAAATCTGCTTGATTCTCTCATTGTTTCTCTCATAAGAAGGTAAACTCTGTGCATGGAAAGGCCAAGTGTCTTGGGATAGACCCAGCATCTGTGACAAGACAGGGCACGCCAAGACCTTCTGGTTGTAGAATGTGACTGAATGACTGACTTTTGTGGGAAAATTTTCTTCACACTTCAATGGATGTTCCTTTGTTGTTGCAATTAAGTGCTATTGAGTGGGTTCCCACCCAACCTTGCAGTCCAGAGCATTAGCATGCAGCGCCACACCAGGATTCCTAGCAGGGATTAAAGAATCCTCATAGCACTGTGGGTTAGACATTGTGCTACTAACTGCAAGGTTGATGGTTCAAATCCATCAACGGCTCCACTGAAGAAAGATGAAGTTGTCTGCTCTGTAAAAATATGTAAGACTTGGAAACCCTATATAGGGCACCATGAGTCAGAAACAACTCCATGACAGTGTGTATAGTTTTGATTTTTAGAAGGGATTGGCAAAGTATGACTCAAGGGTCCTTGGTTTATTTTTGTACAGCTCTCAGTGTTCAGAATTAAACTTTTTTACATTAAAAAAAGTGGTTAAAAACCAAGGAGTTCTGGTGTGGCACTGTAAGATAAGCACTGAAACACAAGGTTGGTTTGAACTGAAAAATCAGTGGTTCAAACCCATCAGCCACTCCTTGGAAACCCTATACAGGGTCGCTGTGAGTCAGAACTGAATCAACAACACTTAACATCAACAACATTCAACAGAGATTGTATCTGGCCCATAAAATCTACAATATTTTCTATCCGCCTCTTTATAGAAAGTGTCCTGAACTCTGTTCTATAAGTATGATTTTTAAAATTTGTTAATAAATTGGAAACACTTTGAGAGACTATTCTGGTCTGGCATGGATATTTCTTTTTTTCACATATGGATATAAAATGAATGTTGAATATTAAGTGCATAATTACTTAGCTGACTCTCCAACTCTTAAGAGTGCAACACATCCAATAAGCTTCAAGTATCACTTATAATTATTTTATAATTACTGATCCTATTTGAAAAGGTCTTCCATGCTAATTTCTATTTCTGTTCTGGATAAGGGGAATGCAAAAACAGAAACACCCTAAAGTTTATATGAGGATTGACTGAAGAAGAACTATAGAAATCCCCAGTTTAATATCAGAAACCAAAGTTTCACTTTCCCCTAAAGTTTCCTGTGACTTCTTTTTGAAAACTTACATGTAAATTTTTTGAAGGGAAATTACTGAAAAACATCTGTCAATCTTGAAACTTCAAAGAGGCGAAGAAAAAAAACTGTAACAATAGCAAACTGGCTGAAAGGAAGCTTTGGGATGTGGTTTTATCTAAATACAAGCCATCCACGCCCTCTCACAATATTAACCCTTGGGCTGCCACTCTAAAACCTACCAGCTGCATGTTCTAGCTGTGTGAAGTGGCTTCCAGCATCTCCTTTACTCAGAGACCAGAAGGGCAAGTTGCTTTTTGCCAATCCCAATTTCACAGAAACTCAGACTGATCATACCGTGTACCTGGCTGTGCGTTTGTTGTTATGTTGCTAGGTACCATGGAGTTGGTACTGACTCATAGCAACCCTATGCAAAGCAGAATGAAACAGTGGCTGGCAAAGCTCTATTTTTTGACCCGGGAAGTGGTTATAAGGGCAAGAGTTGTAACTAGCTATAAGTCTGATTGTGTTATTTTCTGTATCTGTATTTTATTTCAGAATTTAAACATTTTAAAGAAAAGGGGAAAAAATCAGAATAATGATTTAGGAGGCCATGTATTTATTGCTCCTGGCTAGGTATATTATTGCAAAAACTCCTGGAGAAAAGGAAAATTGAAAGGGAACACACATTTGTTTGTTTGTTTTTCTCTTTTGAGCATATGCTATGTGTTAGGAACTTCAAATATTTAATCACACATGATGCTCAAGATCTGCCTTTCAAATATGAACAATGAACAAAACAGCCTGGCCCTGTGTTTTGCTCCAAGAGTCTCAGACCCACTAACTCATTTTAATAAGATCCCCAGGAGAGTTATGCACATCAGAGTGTGAGGAGTCCTAGACTAGGGGACATTTTCCCAGTGTTCAATATAGTGGGCACAAGGGGCAGCGATGCCTACCTGTGGCCTTCTGGCTGACCCAGCTCCAGGAAGCCTAACCAGATCTCAGCTTCTACAACCCTGTACAGGGTTTCTGAGGTTTAAATCTTCACAGGAACAGAAACTTTATCTTTCTCCCAATGAGTGACTG